GCATACCGCTGAATCTTCTCTATCTTTTGTTTAACTAGGTATTGTTATGATCTCAGCCTACAGGAGAAACGAGTCTCCCTCCTTGAGAGTTATTCGTCAAGCCTGACCTGATTAGAAGGTCTAGCAAAATTTGAGGTGATAACCCATATGAAAAATGGCTGGTTGGATATGTAAAACAATTTGAGATTATGGGCAATGAAGGAGAAAACAGATAAATGACTGGCTAGGAGATGTGGACATTTTGCTGGAGGCGTGAGGCTCGCTTCCGGAGGACCTTGACCTCACTTGAGTGCCAGACATCGCAGGGGAAAGCCGCGCTACGTTTGAGCTCCCGCCAGAAGGGAACCCCTAGTGATATATCTCTAAGAGAAGAGAAGTGTGCAGACGTACCAGCTGTGGAATCGAGCTGGGAACGTTGTGGTCTCAAGTCCTGGCCGACGAGCAGATATTAAATCGCCCAGAAGCATTATTGTGGGCCGTGGGAGCGCCCTGACCAGACGCCGTCAGAGGGAAAGCGCCCTCAACCAGTTAATCTGTGGTAAGCACGATAAACGCCAGTTCATAGTGATTGTTTGTAGTTGGTCGTGTGCCCAGCGACAGTAGCAATGTTTATTTATAAGTTAGACATGTTTTAATAAGGCAGAAGGCCTGAAATAGGAGAGTGAAGAGGGAGGAGCACGGAGCGACGTCCGTCCACTCTGAGCTCTGACGGACGACTGAGGGAGCCCGGCTCCGGATGGAGGAAGACCCTCCCAGCGAGTGAGGACCGCCGCCAGGCGAGGTGGAGTATGGACCCGCCCAAAACGGGGGAGTCCACTCTCACTGTATATAGAGGACAGGTAGAGGTTGGAGACAAACATATTGTGTGAATATTTTTTGTTTATGTGTTAAAGGGGAACATTTTATTGGAGTGTCGATGGGTTGCAGGTTTGTCTTTGGGGAAGGAGTTGCTGAGAACTTCGAAGCCAGCAGATGAAGTAGCTGATGAGACTCCAAGGTAGTGGAGCAGAGGACCTCGAGCTGTGGGGAGAAGCAGCAGTGAAGAGGAGTGTCACGTGCTTCGGCAGAGGTGGAGAAGCACCATAGTTGCTCGAGGAAACTTCACGGTGTAGCAGCCAAGAGAGCTGTGGAGGAACCTATCAGAAGGGTGAAGCACCGTAGTTACTCAAGGAAACTTCATGATAGCAGCCTGGAGGAGCTGCAGAGGATCCTGGTAGTGAAGCCCGGAAGAACCTAAGGATATTAGGGTTGTGAACTTCCAGAGGTGGAAGGGGAAGTTCTGGTGGATTACTTATAGGGAGTTGATAGTGTTTGGTTGTCTTTAGCGTGCAAGACGCAGTGAGAGGTGAGTGACTGTTGGCATTCTTACGTCAAGGAGTTTTTTATACTGAAGTATCAATGAACATTTATACTGGTATATGTTATTGCATTCAAATGCTGATTTTCTATATATATATTGTCTTGCTGATGGTGCAACAGTGTACGTAGGCTTGATCAACTTGAGGAGGTTGATAGTATCAGGTGGTGAACCAGGAGATAGGATACCACTTGATAAGCTGATAAGAGTTCTGATGGTGTTGGAGTGCAATCTGATTGTGATATTATAGAGTATAGGATTCATTATTATTATATGTGTGTATGTATCGTGTATGTGCTTTGTCCAGTAAATGTGTCACAATTTGCTGGTGTTTGCCCTTGTCCTAGTGAGGCTTCCCAGGAGGTAGTAAAGAAAGAGAGAAAGAACCAAGAACCACTGCTGTGGACAGGGTAGGAGGTAATACTAGTAAGTCATAGGGGATTGAGGAGATCATATCTCATAAGGAGAGAGTGGGGAGTCACAGCGGCTCGAGTGGGTGTGTGCACGTGACAACGAGGCTAAGTGTTGGAGCCGCATCCCCTAAACGTGTGACGTTGAGCCCCTCTCCAAGAGCCAGGAGCGCCAAGGGTGATCTCCTAGTATAAGCACTCTGCCGAGTTGTGGGTTGGGTTGTCCATAGAGAAGGATCAACGACGACAACACCAACCAACCCACAGTCTATAATAGTATGGACTCCAGGCTGGAGCTGCATACTCCAGGATTGGTCTTACATAAGTGGTATACAGGGTTCTGAAAGATTCCTTACACAAGTTTCTAAAGGCAGTTCTTATGTTGGCCAGTCTAGCATATGCCGCTGATATTTTTTTGATGTGGGCCTCTGGGGACAAGTTCGGTGTGATATCAACCCCTAGATCCTTCTCTAACTTGCAGGATTTCCCCTCCCAGATGATACCTTGTGTTCAGCCTCCTGCTCCCTTCGCCTAATTTCATCACCTTACACTTTCCTGAGTTGAGCTTTAGCAGCCATTTTCTAGACCATTCCTCCAGTTTGTCCAGGTCATCTTGTAGTCTCTGTATCTTCATCCGTCTTGATTCTTCTCAATTTTTGCATCATCAGCAAACATTGAGAGGAATGAGTCTATACCCTCTGGAAGATCGTTCACATATTAGAAACAGGATGGATCCAAGTACTGAGCCCTGTGGGACTCCGCTGGTGACATCTCGCCACTCTGATGTCTCCCCCCTCACCGTTACTCGCCGTTTCCTGTTGCTTAAGTACTCCCTTATCCACTGGAGCACCTTCCCTTTTACTCCTGCCTGTTGCTCCAACTTTTTTAACAGCCTTTTATGGGGTACTGTGTCAAAGGCTTTTTGGCAATCCAGGAAAATGTAGTCGGCCCACCCTTCTCTTTCCTGCCTAATTTTCGTTGCCTGGTCATAAAATTCTATTAATCCTGTGAGGCACAATTTACCATCTCTGAACCAATGTTGGTGGTGCATTACAAAGTTATTTCCCTCCAGATGCTCTACGAGCCTTTACCTCACGATCTTCTTCACCTTGCATGGTATCATGGTATACAAGTTAAGGAAACTGGCCTGTAATTCAGTGCCTCTTGCCTGTCACCCTTTTTGTATATTGGGACCACGTTAGCCATCTTCCAACTTTCTGGTAAGTCTCCTGTTTCCAGTGACCTGTTATACACCATAGAGAGTGGCACACTTAATTGCTTCTGCACCTTCCTTTAGTATCCATGGTGAGATTCTGTCAGGCCCAACAGCCTTTGTCACATCCAGCTCCAGCAGACACCTTTTGACCTCATCACTGGTGAGGTCAAATTCCTCTAAGACTGCTTGGTTTGCCACCGCCTCATTTAGTGCAGGGGCTTCTTGTTCTATTGTGAAGACCTCCTGGAATCTCTTGTCAAGTTCACACACCTTGTCATTCTCTATCTGTTCTCTCCTTTTCACAGCTTCATCACTTGTTCCTTCACTGCTGTTTTCCTCCTGATGTGGCTGTGGAGCAGCTTTGGTTGGGTCTTGGCTTTACTCGCGATGTCATTTTCAAACTGTCTCCCTGCTTCCCTCCTCACTCTGAGGTACTCATTTCTGGCCCTCTGGTATCTCTCCCTGCTCTCTGGTGTTCTGTTATTTCTGTAGTTTCTCCATGTTCTTTTACTCAGTTGCTTCGCTACCTTGCATTCCTGGTTGAACCATGGGTTTTTCTGTTTTTCTCCTTTCAGACGGGGATAAACCTGTCTGCAGCTTCCTGGCACTTCTGTGTTCACCATAGCAAACCACTGAGCTGGTACAATGAGTCCAGACAGTGAAAGGGGGCCACACAAGTTTCTAAAGGCAGTTCTTATATTGGCCAGTCTAGCATATGCCACTGATGATATCCTTTTGATGTGGACCTCTGGGGACAGGTTGGGTGTGATATCGACCCCCAGATCTTTTTGTTGGACTTGTAGGATTTCACCTCCCAGATGGTACCTTGTGTTCAGCCTTCTGCTCCCTTTGCCTAAGTAATGAAATTAGGCTAAGGGAGCAGAAGGCTGAACACAAGGTACCATCTGGGAAGTGAAATCCTACAAGTCAAATACAGAGAAAGATCTGGGTCAATATCACACCGAACCTGTCCCCAGAGGCCCACATCAAAAGGATATCAGCGGCATATGTTAGACTGGCCAATATAAGAACTGCCTTTAGAAACTTGTGTAAAGAATCGTTCAGGACCCTGTATACCACTTATGTAAGACCAATCCTGGAGTATGCAGCTCCAGCCTGGAGTCCATACCTAGTTAAACACAAGACGAAGTTAAAAAAGATTCAGAGGTATGCCTCCAGACTGGTCCCGGAACAGAGGAATGAGTTACGAGGAAAGGCTAAGGGAGCTGAACCTCACAATCCTGGAAAACAGAAGAATAAGGGGAGACATGATAACCACCTACAAAATTCTCAGGGGAATTGACAGGTTGGACAAAGAAACTCTTTAGCACGGGTGGGACACGAACAAGGGGACACAGGTGGAAACTGAGTGCCCAGATGAGCCACAGAGCCATTAAAGAATTTTTTCAGTGTCAGGGTAGTTAACAAATGGAATGCATTAAGTAGTGTTGTGGTGGAGGCTGACTCCATACAGTTTCAAATGTAGATATGATAAGAGCCCAATAGGCTCAGGAATCTGTACACCAGTTGATTGACAGTTGAGAGGCGGGACCAAAGAGCCAGAGCTCAACCCCCCACAAACACAACTAGGCGAGTACAACTAGGTGGGTACACAGTCAGCAGACGACACTAGCTCCCTCCCCACCAAGATTACTCCCACCACAGCGCTAATTTATCACAACAATCCTGCTATTATCAGAATCCTGGTCATTTTTATCAGTCAAGGGTCTTTTGTAATACCATCATCGTTAAATAATAGCAGGTACGTATTGACATTTTAAGGCAATGCTGTGGTCACAAGCTGAACAGCATTGCTGTTAGCGCACGTTGTATGCGCCAGCCTTAGTTGCTCACTCTGTACCAAGGCTCTCACACCCGGAAATGTTACCTGGAATTTATTTTCCAAGATGGCGTCTGTTTACTATCAGCCGGAGCGCGGGGCAATAGCATGCAGCAACTGGAGCAATCGTACAAGAATTTTATCCATATAAAATTTAAAAGATGGCTAGCAACATACCTGATAGAGAGAGCCCATAGTGGCAGAGGTTGGAGGAATGACATTATTGACAAAGAAGAAGAGAGCATCTTCAGGTCGGAGGTGGATTCGCTTGCGGATTAAGAAGTAGAACTGTCCAACTGTCAGGTCACTAGGAACTAGGTATTTTTTCTTATCCAAATCCCCAATGCGAGCTTTGGGTGCCTTCTCCACAATCACCTGAAAAAATCAATAAAATTTTACTTTTGTGCTCAAGGGAAGGTGCAACATAGTTCATGATGTTGAGTCCGGCCTCAAGCCAGGTGCTGGTAGTAAAACTACTGAACTGCCAAAACCTTCTCCAGGTATAATAAAACTCCCACAACATAAATAAAAGCAGCTTTACGTCCATTTAGACATCAAAAGACTAATCTCTGAATTCCACAGCTAATTTGGTTGCAGTTCAAAATCTCTCTTTCATCATTGATAAGTTTCTGTACCGAGGGTCGATGGTCTGGAAAAAAAACCCCAATCCCAATGTGAAATTAATGTTATGTTTCAGTCCATCCAGGATCCATAATTTCTACCGTCAACTTTAAAAAAAAAACTCCAGGAAAACTGGAATGTCACCATTTTGAGTTTTAGGGATAGGTTATATGTTTTCAGACATCAATTGCGACATTCTCTGCACAATAACCTTGCACCAGGAAGCCAATGGAGGTCTTAACCCTTTAACTGCAAGCCACATACAGTACTCTGACGAATTAAAAGTACTGTGCAAGATTTTAAACTCCCACTGGTACACGCTCCCATCCACTTTGTCAGGCCTCCAATAAACAGACCATCTAGGAAAAACATTGCAACCACACTACCTGGGTGTGAGGGCCTCAGTACTATGAGCGGCTCACAGCACCGCCCGGGCAGCGGCTCACAGCACCGTCATACAGCTCGTGCCTGCAGCATCACTACCACCACCTGCGTATGAGGGCCTCAGTAATATGCGAGCAGCCATCAGCAACACATGCAGCAGCTCACAGCACTGCCATGCAGCTTGTGCCCGCAGTGTCACCATCATTAAATAAGTAACCAATTATTTATAAATTTTAGTGAGACCCAGTGATAAAGACACTACAAGGTTCAGATACCAGCAAACTAGATGCAGGTGGTGATGTTCACAGCACAAGGCCCACAGCTGCAGTTTGGTGTATCTATACCACGCAATAGGATCCCATGTTCCATCATAAACAATGATTCGTATCCAGGATTTAATAACCAGGTTTCTGAAAAGAGCAGGCTTATGTTGAGAGATCTGCAGGTTTTGCAGATAAGCGCAGTTTTGGCTCGTGTTAGCCATCTGCAAAGCATATAAGATGGCACTTGGCAACTGACGAGTGCGAGATACCTGCTTGATGGGGTTCAGCAAGTTCTACTCCCCAAGCCTGGCCCGAGGACAGGCTTGACCTTGTGTGGGACTATGCCATGCGCAAATCAATGGCTAAGATATTATCACCCGCCACAACTGTTTAGGGGTTCACCTTGGTGCATAAACATGTAGGTAAGTTATATATATGTGCTAATAATGTGCAATTATAGCAAAAACAAAATTCCAAAAAATGAGTGCATGCATATTAGTGACACTAATGTACTGTAAGCTCACTTACCCAAATTATATGGGAAGGACCACCATTAGAAAAGACAGACGTACAGCCAAGTAGAATTTTTACCGAGTTAGTCCAAAAGTGAATAAATTCGCAATTTTTTGCCTTGCAACAAACCATCTGAATTTCCACACTAAAAAATATACCAGTACAGTACTCTAATTTAAAAACTTCAACAGCTTATTTCTTCCTTCAAGGCAAAGAACTTGTTGCAGTTCTTTGCCTTGATAGATGCTGCATACAGTATTGCGCATCTTCAAATCAATAATTCTGGAAAATTTATATAAGCTAACACCCAGTAAATTACTGTACAGTACACAAGTCTGGCAAGGTCAGTTCAGCAGCTGAGCTGGTCAAAGGCTCTTGGCTTGCTGGTTTTAACCCCTATCAAGTTTTGCTTGCCTCCTGTGTTCACTGGTCAGGATCACCTCTTTGGTTCACCTCAAGTACTGACATGTTTACCAACTTCTAGAGGAGCATAGTTGCATGAAAAATTAATTAACACATCAGAGAAGACGTGAGTAAACTGTATTTGGTTGTCTGGTGTTAGTTACCACAACCTTCTTCAATACATCCAGGGTTATCTTGAGGTTATCTTGAGGCTATCTTGAGGTTATTGCCGCTGGTGATTGCTGATGCTGCCAGACATACAGTAAGTAGTCTTTGCCAAATTTTGTTTAAAAGTTATTTAAGAATGTTTCACTAAGGACATGGCACTGTGGTACAATACAAGGGTTGATAGCACACAGCCTGGACACACACACGTAATGTTAGCCGCCAGGTGGAAAAAAATTCCCCAAGTTTTAGTAGAAAACTACAACCTGTTTAAAACTACAAATTTAAAAATACAAAATTATAAATTTTGAAAGAGAAATTGAAAACATGCCCCTGCACTCGACTCTGGGTACAGATTCATGGAATTCAATATTAATAAAGAAATGCAAAATGCCGGTAGTACAGGCACTCAGTATAGTGTGGAGGAGGAGTTTGGAAATGGGGGAGATACCAAATGCACTTAAAGTAGCAGACATAGCCCCTCTACACAAGGGAGGGAGCAGAGCATTGGCAAAGAATTATAGACCAGTTGCACTAACGTCCCACGTAATAGAAATATTTGAGAGTGATTAGGAGTCAGGTCACCAATTTCATGGAGACCAATGACCTTCACAACCCAGTTCAACATGGATTTCGAGCGGGAAGATCGTGCCTCTCACAGCTACCTGATCACTACAACAAAGTCACTGAGGCATTAAAAGAAAATCAGAATGTTGATGAATGAAAATGATGCTGATGAAAATCAGAATGCTAGATACACGGACTTCGCAAAGGCTTTCGATAAATGTGACCATGGCGTGATAGCACACAAAATGAAGTCAATGGGAATAACCGGTAAAGTAGGACGCTGGATACTAAGTTTTCTGTCAAACAGGACTCAGCGAGTAACGGTCAACCATATAAAATCTAGTCCAAGTGCAGTTAAAAGCTCTGTACCTCAGGGTACAGTCCTTGCACAGCTGCTTTTCCTTATTCTCATAATCAGATATAGACAAAAATACAAGTCACAGCTTCGTATCATCCTTTGCAGATGACACAAAAATCAGTATGAAAATTACCTCGGCTGAAGACATTGAAAAACTTCAAGCTGATATTAATAAAGTTTTCGACTGGGCAGCAGAAAATAACATGTTTAACAGTGATAAATTCCAGGTACTCAGGTATGGTAAAAATGAGGACCTTAAACATAATACAGAGTACAAAACACAATCAAATGTACCTATAGTAGGAAAACAGCATGTAAAGGATTTGGGAATAATAATGTCTGACGACCTAACGTTTAAGGAGCATAACCAAGCAAATATTGTGACAGCCAGAAAAATGATAGGATGGATTACGAGAACTTTCAAATCCAGGGATCCCATCACAATGGTTGTACTCTTCAAGGCACTTGTGTTGTCCCGTCTTGAGTACTGCTCAGTACTCACTTCCCTCTTCAGAGCAGGAGAGATTGCTGAAATAGAGGGAATACTGAGAACATATACGGCATGCATAGACGCAATAAAGCACCTAAATTATTGGGATTGTCTCAAAGCCCTCCAAATGTACTCACTAGAAAGAAGACGAGAGAGATATCAAATAATATACACCTGGAAGATACTGGAGGGCCAAGTACCAAATCTACACAGAAAAATAACAACGTACTGGAGTGAACGATATGGAAGAAATTGTAGAATAGAACCAGTGAAGAGCAGAGGTGCCATAGGCACAATCAGAGAACACTGTATAAACATCAGAGGTCCGCGGTTGTTCAACGTCCTCCCAGCAAGCATAAGAAATATTGCCAGAACAACCGTGGACATTTTCAAGAGGAAACTAGATTTATTCCTCCAAGGAGTGCCGGACCAACCGGGCTGTGGTGGATATGTGGGCCTGCGGGCCGCTCCAAGCAACAGCCTAGTTGACCAAACTCTCACAAGTCAAGCCTGGCCTCGGGCCGGGCTTGGGGAGTAGAACAACTCCCAGAACCCCATCAACCAGGTATCAACCAGGTACACAGTTTGTACGAAATTTGTACTCGTCATAATATTTAATAATATTTCCTTAGTTTTGACTAAGGAGTTTTTATAATCCAACTCTTGGTTATCCTACATTAAAATATAAATTGCAAAGTTAAACAACAAAGAACAAAATAAAAAACTTAATTACTGCATTGCTATTTATTCCTAAATAATTCCCCCACTATAGCTGATTTTGCAACAAAATGTTAATTTCAATGTCATTAAGGACAACTACCAAGAGAATTGGTCTTAATATTTAATCACATCTAGCACATTTCCTAGATTCAAACGCCCATTTTCAAGGGGGGGGGGGGGACAAAAAACAATTCGCTCAACAAATACCTTTGCAACTGGGGAAAAAAACGTACAACTTGGTTTTAAATATGGTCAGTGGCTTTCCCAAGGCCTCCCCCCCCCCACAACCACCAACTCTTATTATCTTGCATCCATCTATGTAAATCATTAAAATGGTGATAGGAGCCCTATTAAGAGTTACCATTCATACCTTCCTATTTTCCATGTTCTATGGGGCTCGAGGTTATCTTGAGATGATTTCAGGGCTTTTTAGTGTCCCCGCGGCCCGGTCCTCGACCAGGCCTCCACCCCCAGGAAGCAGCCCGTGACAGCTGACTAACACCCAGGTACCTATTTTACTGCTAGGTAACAGGGGCATAGGGTGAAAGAAACTCTGCCCATTGTTTCTCGCTGGCGCCTAGGATCGAACCCAGGACCACAGGATCACAAACCCAGTGTGCTGTCCGCTCGGCCGACCGGCTCCCTCGGGCTGATTTCACCAAGGCAATCTAATTTTAACTTATGGTATGATGGGCACCTTTTACACCAGTTTGCGAGGTGTCCCGATATCCTAGCCGAGCCGAGCTGCTTCAGCTCTTGCTCACCACATCCGCCGATTCAGCTCTTGCTCACCATATCCGCCACTTCAGCTCTTGCTCACCACACCAGTTCAGTAAATCCAGCCTGGAATGAGTGCATGCCAACCAGATTGGCCCAATCTAGGTTCCACTGTATATATACAGGATTCCTGTCTCATGACAAAACTAATTAGGATATTCTGCACCAACTTACAGTGGGCCTCTATTTACGATGGTAATCCGTTCCCAGAGATGTATCTGAAGTCAAAATATCGTAAGTTGAAGCGATTTTTCCCAAAAGAAATAAAGGGAATTGAATTAATCCATTCCCCACCCTCCAAAATATTAACTTACAAATATATTTTATACTGAATATAATTGTTTTCTCTAACTACAATACAGTACATCTGTTTACCTTACCTTTATGGAGGACTATGGCGTATGGAAGATGGCAATGAGGGGGGGGGGGGAGGAAAGGTGTTACTGTTATAATGGATGGGACTCCCAAACATGAGGCAGTGATGACTTCTCTGGGATACACTCTGACATGTGTTGCCTGCATACCACTAGGACCAGCTTGTGGCTCACTGTTTGCTTGTCTTGCTAACAATGTCTATACACACTTTTTTTTCCCTACATTTTAACACTTGTCTGTAGTAAGACATCACATTGTCATTTAAAGGTCAATGCAACGGCCTGCTACAGCTTTATCTGGGCGAGTTTTTTCAACAAAACTTTGCAGTTCTTCCCATACTTCACTCATTTTCTTAATGAGGAAGGGACATCCTCTACTGCCTCTACTCAACTATTTTCTTAGGTTCAACCTTACCATTGACTTTCTTGGGACCCATGGCATGATATATAATCAGTTATGTTCAAAAAGCAAAAAAATCACAAAAACGGATTTTCTTATAGGCGTGATCGTCACTAAGCGGGCACCTCTAGTAAACTGAGGCAGGTTGGTCCGCATGACCGGAAACCACGCGCTCGGTCAACCCAAACATGTACCAACAAGTATCATTAGTCGACGACACTATCGTAAGTCGAATCGCATTTTCCGATCAAATTTCCATTGTAACTAAATTATCGTAAGTCGGGGCAATCTTAAGCAGAGGTGCCACTGTACACACAAGTTCAGGTCCAGGTGTACTCTCGGAATGTGAAGCACAAATAGCCACAGGTCCAGGTGTACTCTCGGTATGTGGAGCACAAATGGCCACAGGTCCAGGTGTACTCTCGGTATGTGGAGCACAAATGGCCACAGGTCCAGGTGTACTCTCGGTATGTGGAGCACAAATGGCCACAGGTCCAGGTGTACTCTCGGTATGTGGAGCACAAATGGCCACAGGTCCAGGTGTACTCTCGGTATGTGGAGCACAAATGGCCACAGGTCCAGGTGTACTCTCGGTATGTGGAGCACAAACGGCCACAGGTCCAGGTGTACTCTCGGTATGTGGAGCACAAATGGCCACAGGTCCAGGTGTACTCTCGGTATGTGGAGCACAAATGGCCACAGGTCCAGGTGTACTCTCGGTATGTGGAGCACAAATGATCACAGTATAGTTTGCAAGAATGCAGTCATGCTTAACCACTGAACTGCACTCGGTGGGAAACTGCGCCAACTGAGAAAACTGATTTTTTGGTACCCATTTGAAACGTGCGCGCGGTTGGTTGTGTACGAGATGGATGCCCGAGGCCAGCAGTGAGCGGTGGCCATTTTGAAAAAAATCCCAGAATGCCCCAGGCCCGAGGGTAGCCTCGGTTCTGATCGAGCAACCATATCCGACGCACGCGCCTCCAGCTCCCAGTTGCCTGTTGGACACGCTGTTGCAAAACCGCTTTCTCCAGGGGAGATAAACAGTTTGTTGTTTGAAGATGAAGGGGAATATTATATTGATGACCCAAGGGTTGATAAAGACAAGAGTCCGATGGAAGTGAAACACACAGATGAAGACGATACAGTGAGTGCGTATCGTTCAGGGCGAGCTGCATGCACAGTGGAGCGTCACAGGTCATCTCCCTTGCCAGTATTATCCCCACCACCGCCATTTCGCACAGGGGGAATTTCACAAACCCGGTGCAGCACGGTGGTTAATGGAAAATGTGATTCAGGGCTAACCCTGCAACTTACTATTTGTATCATCCACTCTATAGCATCCTGAAGATCATGGAGAAAACTTTCTACCTCCATCAAGTAAACCTTTAACTGCAAACAAGGTAATGCCAAGAACACTTTGCAAAGAAACATGGAAAGGGTTTGTTTAACCCATACTTTGGACCACGGTAAGGTTCAGAATTACGAAACAATCCTGCAACACAGCTCCCAGTGACCAAACTCCTGAAAATCAAATTCCTCCGTGTGAAGTGCAAAACCACATAACTTGCACCTGATAGTTTTGCTCATTAGCAAATGCCTTACAGCTGACCAATTTATGTAATATATCTGTAGCACAAACTTTGTTTAAACACTGAGGGGGGGAGGAGGAATGGGTCACAGTGCGGAAATCTGTTTACACGACCATACTGCCTTTTACATTGTTTACACGACCACACTGCCCTTTACAAAGGCAAAACATTAAGGAGACCTTTCAATAGCTTGAAGAGTCCAATACATTGCTAGCATTATGATTGAAAGAAGCTTATTCTCTCAATTAAGTAATACTCCTCCAGTAAAATTCTCATTCCTGGGAGACTTGCCATCAAATCCTCTGATTAAAGGTATAATATACACCATCATGACTTGACGAGGCACTTCCATACATTTGTGCTGCCTTTAGCTCCCCCCAGTCAACGAGGAACAGTTTCCATTCACTGGGATTCAAGTTTTCTCTCCCCCTCTTTACTTGTTGACATTAATTACAGAGTTGTCTAATACCCTAGCAAAATGTTCATTACATAATATTGCTTACTTTAACCAGGCCTGCCACTAAGGGGTGGAAATCCCTGGTTGGTCAGGAAATACTTTTAATAATTCTACAGTTCACGGAGGTAGGGGAAAAGGACAATTTATGTCGAGTCCTTTGCAAGTATTCCCAAACCAAAATGATAAAAGGGGCTTAAACCTGCCTCAGCCTCTCAAATAGGTTTTTAAAAATTTGAATTAAAAAACATTAAAATAAGGAATACTGTAAAGAACCAAGAGTTAAGGCAAGATCATTACATTCTAAATACAGTATTGCATAAAGCCACAAACTAAACCTAGATTATACAGTACTGGATAATTATACTCATGTTATGCTATTATGACAATATTCTGTAATTTTGTACAAACCATCAATGAACATTCATGAATTTTTTGAGTGAATTGAAATGACCAATGGTCAATACGTTGATCTAAAATAATGCAAACAGTTTATACCAATGTAATCAATGCCATTCTATCAGTGATCAGAAATAATCAAAACTAGTCAACTTATTACACCGGATCATGTACCAGTTTACAGGATGCGTGTTACTTTCTTTGTTGTGGATGACCTTGGCCAACAACCTTGCCATCACAACCCAGTTTCTCCACACCTGTGTAACCCTTGGTGCTACACAGCGACCCAGTTTCTCCACACCTGCTTGAAAGATGACCTTAGTGCTACAGAATGAGACAGTTAAATGAAACATGCTCAGAGCATTCACTAACATGTTAAGCAAAAACTCGAATATCTTAGCAGAACCTGGCCATGACGGACCATAGCACTGTGCACCACACCAATATTTATATTAATAACTTGGATCTGTACAAATTTACCTTTAAACGAACATTTCCAAAAGGTTTCTACATAACGTTTGCTACAACATTTACAGGATGTTTTTGAGGGGGCAGAAATGTTTCAATAAAATGTTTATATAAATGTTTGTATACAAGGTAAATATGGCGTGGAACGCGCCTGGGGGCGGTCAGGGGCGGCGGGCATCACCAGCGAGGCACCAGCCTGGCCCTCGGCCACAACAGGTGGGCCAAACCAAGCCAAAGTGCACTCAGCCAGTGATGGCGGCGGCCCTCATGACATTGACTCATCCCCCTCCCCCCCGTCAAGTGCGTCGTATCTTCACCCACACAAACTGTATCTATACACACTCACTGGCACACGGTCCGGATATTTCTTCCTGATCTTCTCGCCCTCCGCCCTCCTCTTCTCGAAAGGATGTTCCTCCTTGTACTGCCACTTCATCTTGCTGGGGGTTAATGTGTGTGGCGGGGGTTGAGGTGGATGGTTGCAGCTGGCGGGGCGGACGAGGAGTGTCTGGCGGGCTCCCCTGTCCTCGCCCCTGGCTCGATAACACGCCGGATAAATACCACGCTCCAGCCACCTCTTGTGGAATCTGACTCTTTTTTTTGTATCCTAATCACTACCTTGATGCTATATGTAAAGCTTCAAATACCCTATTTTTTAATCAGGGTAAAACAAATTCTTTAGGTGAGTTTAGAGTTGTGTTGTCTATTGTGTTGATGTTTGACAACAAAGGCCTTCGAACGGGATAGTCCTCCGCCGGGGAAAGTAGTTCTAGACTACTTTTACCTGATCGCATAATTATCCATATATCTCGCGTCCAATTTGTGCCTAGGGACTTTCTTCTGTTCAAGTATCACATTTACTAGGCCGTGTCTGGCCGGCGTACATATGACATCATAAGATGTAACAGTGACGACACCGTTCACTCAGTCAGCTGATCCTGGATAATATATATATATATTATAACTTCTCCTTATATGTCGCAATTTTCCATTATGTCTCATAGATTACACCATGATCGGGTTTTTCATATATATAAGATGGTCTTAGGAATACATGGTGGGATCAATATGCTTCAATAAAGCCATCAATCAACTATGGCCGCTGAATGTCGCATATAACGGCTGTATCACCTGTAAGTGACACTTAAGGAATTACTCCCAAATATTCCATTTAAAAACGAACTTCTTCGTCTCACGATAAATACAATGTTCATGTGAGAAAATATCCGCACTAGCTATACTAATAAGACAAATATTATTTACAATAGGGTGTATAGTTAAATTAGTATATTAATTAAATGAAAAAAGCTCCCCATATATCTATCTCAAGCTCGTAGTGAAGGAATACACAACACAACACATTTGATGTTCAATAAATGTTAAGTGTCTCCGCACTGACAGATATACACATACGGATATGAACTGAGGAAAGATGAGCGGGACCAGGACAACGTTGAGACTTTAGACCAGGACAACGTTGAGAATTTAGACCAGGACAACGTTGAGAATTTAGACCAGGACAACGTTGAGAATTTAGACCAGGACAACGTTGAGAATTTAGACCAGGACAATGTTGAGAATTTAGACCAGGACAATGTTGAGAATTTAGACCAGGACAACGTTGAGAATTTAGACCAGAACAACGTTGAGAATTTAGACCAGAACAACGTTGAGAATTTAGACCAGAACAACGTTGAGAATTTAGACCAGGACAACGTTGAGAATTTAGACCAGGACAACGTTGAGAATTTAGACCAGGACAACGTTGAGAATTTAGACCAGGACAATGTTGATAATTTAGACCAGGACAACGTTGAGAATTTAGACCAGGACAACGTTGAGAATTTAGACCAGGACAACGTTGAGAATTTAGACCAGGACAACGTTGAGAATTTAGACCAGGACAACGTTGAGAATTTAGACCAGGACAACGTTGAGACTTTAGACCAGGACAACGTTGAGACTTTAGACCAGGACAACGTTGAGACTTTAGACCAGGACAACGTTGAGAATTTAGACCAGGACAACGTTGAGAATTTAGACCAGGACAACGTTGAGAATTTAGACCAGGACAACGTTGAGACTTTAGACCAGGACAACGTTGAGACTTTAGACCAGGACAACGTTGAGAATTTAGACCAGGACAACGTTGAGAATTAAAGTATACTTGCTGGCTGATCAGAAAGTTAATGTATAATGACCTTAATCAACCTTCCTATAATGATAGGCCTTTGCTGGGCAGTGTCCCTCTGAATTTACCTGAGGGTCACTAACACTAATGGCCTCGACGAGGACAGGAAGCCGGCGGCTTGTCAAAGTCCCCATTTGCCCTGACAATATTTTACAGTTGAATTTTAAAGTTCAACACAGTTTTGGCATTTATGGCTTCGGCAGGTAGGCGGTTCCATGTGTTTATAACCCTGTATGTGAAAAGCATCTCATGTTGTCAGTCCAACATTGTACTCATCTAGTTGTGCTTGCGGAGGTTGAGCTCTGGCTCTTTGGTCCCGCCTCTCAACTGTCAATCAACTGGTGTACAGGTTCCTGAGCCTACTGGGCTCTATCTTATCTACACTTGAAACTGTGTATGGCGTCAGCCTCCACCACATCACTGCTTAATGCATTCCACCTGTTAACTACCTTAACACTGAAAACGTTCTTTCTAACGTCCCTGTGGCTCATTTGGGTACTCAGTTTCCACCTGTGTCCCCTTGTTCGTGTACCCCCGTGTAAAAAGTTGATCCTTATCTACACCCGTCAATTCCTCTGTGAATTTTGTAGGTAGTAATCATGTCCCCCCTTACTCTTCTGGCTTCCAGTGTCGTAAGGTGCATTTCCCGCAGCCTTTCCTCGTAACTCATGCCTCTTAGTTCTGGGACTAGTCTAGTGGCATACCTCTGAACTTTTTCCAGCTTCGTCTTGTGATTGACAAGGTACGAGCTCCATGCTAGGGCTGCATACTCCAGGATTGGTCTTACATTTGTGGTATACAAGGTTCTGAATGATCCCTTACACAGGTTCCTGAAGGCAGTTCTGATGTTAGCCAGCCTCACATACGCCGCAGATGTTATTCTTTTGATGTGGGCTTCAGGAGACAGGTTTGGTGTTATATCAACTCCTAGATCTTTCTCTCTGTCCGTTTGTGAGGATACATAGCATAGTATTTACAATCTTGTAAAGCCACTAGTACGCGCAGCGTTTCGGGCGGGTCCTTAATCTAACAGATAATTTTAAGTAGGTAAATTCTAGCAGAATTAATAAAATGCTAACAGATACATTGCAAGAAAAAATATGAGATGAGGGAGATTATTAAGTATATTAAAGCACATTGGTATATTAAAGCTCTGATTGATAGCAGTGACAGCGTGATTGGTAATTTACCAAAGATTAATAGGCACAATACAGCATATTGATAGCACATATAAGACAGCAATGATCACAATGGTAAAGTTGTTTGGATTAGGTACATATATATTGGGAGATTGGGTAGCACAAGATACAGTGCAAGTTTAAAGCTCAGTGTAGGAAACTATGAAGATGAAGTTAGGTACTTTTTGTTTTTGTTTTTGAATGAGGCAAAAGTTTGACAACTTTTCAATTCATTAGAGAGTGAGTTCCATAGACTGGGTCCCTTTATTTGTATAGAGTGTTTACACAGATTAAGTTTGACTCTGGGGATATCAAAGAGATATTTGTTTCTGGTGTAGTGATAATGGGTCCTATTACATCTGTCCAGGGATGTAATGGATGCACTGTCCAGAGATTTATTTATTTATTTATTTATGCATATACAAGAATGTACATAAGGAATGTGAGGATACAAATATGGTAATTACAGTCTTGTAAAGCCACTAGCACGCGCAGCGTTTCGGGCAGGTCCTTAATCTAAGAAAATTTTAAGGAGGTAAATACTTGCAAAATTTATAGACAAAAAAATGATAACAGATTACATGAAATGAAAAAAAAAGATGGGAGAAAATTGTAGGTACAGTATATTAAAGCCCATAGGTAGCTAAGATTGATTGCAATGACAGCTTGAATGGTAGTTGACAACAAATTGGTAGGCACAATACAGCAGAAACAATATAAGATTGATTGCAATGACAGCTTGAATGGTAGTTGACAAAAATTGGTAGTCACAATACAGCATATGGCTAGCACATAAAAGAAGACAGCAATGAACACAATGATAAGGTTGTTTGATATTACATAAAAATTAGGGGATTGGGTAACACTAGGTACAGAGCAAATTTAAAGCTCAGTGTAGGAAACTAAGAAGATGAAGTTAGGTACTTTTTGGTTTTGCTTTTAAATAAGGCAAAAGTTTTACAGTTTTTCAATTCACTAGGGAGTGAGTTCCATAGACTGGGTCCCTTAATTTGCATAGAGTGTTTACACAGATTAAGTTTGACCCTGGGGATATCAAAGAGATATTTATTTCTGGTGTGGTGATAATGGGTCCTATTACATCTGTCCAAGGAGAGTTTCAGAGCATGGTTTGCATTTAAGAACAGGGTTTTGTAAATGTAGTTGACACAAGAGAATGTGTGGAGGGAGTTAATATTTAGCAAGTTTAGGGATTTAAACAAGGGAGCTGAGTGTTGTCTGAAAGCAGAGTTAGTTATTATTCTGATAGCAGATTTTTGCTGTGTGATGATGGGCTTAAGGTGGTTTGCAGTGGTAGACCCCCATGCACAGATACCATAATTAAGATAGGGGTAGATTAGTGCATAATATAGTGAGAGGAGAGCAGAGTTAGGAACATAATATCTGATTTTGGAGAGTATACCAACTGTCTTAGAGACTTTCTTAGTTATGTGTTGAATGTGGGTGCTGAAGTTGAGTCTCTTGTCTAGGAATAGGCCAAGAAACTTGCCATCATTTTTATTACTGATGTTAATGTTGTCTATCTGTAGCTGAATTGCATTTGATGATTTGCTTCCAAATAAGATGTAGTAAGTCTTTTCGATGTTTAATGTTAGTTTGTTCGTTGACATCCATAAGTGGACTTTTTTTAATTCATTATTCACAACATTATTTAGTGTATGTGGGTTGAGGTTTGAGTAGATAAGGGTAGTATCGTCAGCAAACAATATAGGTTTGAGAATATTAGAGACATTAGGCAGATCGTTTATATATATAAGAAATAGAAGAGGTCCTAAGATGCTGCCCTGTGGCACTCCAACGGTAATTGGTAGAGTGGAAGAAGTTGTATCATTGATGGTTACATATTGGTGTCTGTCACTAAGATAGGATCGGATGTAGTCAAGGGCAAGGCCTCGGATTCCATAATGCTGGAGTTTAAGTAAGAGGTAGTTGTGATTAACAGTATCAAAGGCTTTTCTTAGGTCAATGAAGAGTCCAATCGGAAACTCATTTTTGTCAAGGGCTGAGTAGATAATGTCAAGGAGACTAATGATTGCATCATTGGTGCTCTTTTGGGACCGGAAGCCAAACTGGCAGGGGCTGAGTATGTCGAATTTTACGAGGTAGGAGTAGAGCTGTTTGTAAATAATTTTTTCAAATATTTTTGATAGAATGGGTAGATTTGATATTGGTCTATAATTGTTTATGTCCGCCGGATTGCCTCCTTTATGGACTGGCGTTACTCTTGCTTTTTTGAGGATATCAGGGAAGGTGTGATACTCTATAGATTTGTTGAACAGTAGTGCTATGGGTGGGGCAAGGGCATGGGAGGCGCTCTTGTACACAATGGACGGAATTTCACTGGTGTTCTCTGCCTTGGTTTTTAGAGAGTGTATGATGGACACAACATCTGCCGGGCTGATTGGTGAAAGGAGAAGAGAGTTTGGATAGCTGCCTGAGAGATATGTGTTAATATGTGTCTGAGTCTGTGGGATTTTACTGGCAAGATTAGCACCAACCGATGAAAAGAAACTATTAAATTCATTTGCCATTTCTAAATCAGTTGACGGTATATCCCCATCCTTGTAGAGTTTTATTTGGTTATGTGATGAGTGTTGTTTAGTTCCTAGGATACTAGAGATAGTTTTCCAAGTACTTTTCATGTTGCCTTTTGCTTCATTGAATCTATTCACATAATATGCAAGTTTTGCCTTTCTTATGATACTGGTAAGCATTGATGAGTACCTTTTAGCTACTTCCTTTGAAACTAGGCCAATCCTAACTTTCTTTTCATATTCATGTTTCTTGTTGATTGAGTTGAGAATGCCACTTGTGAGCCATGGATTGTTTAATCTTTTGTCAGTTACTTGCTTGGTAAGAAGGGGACAATGAAGGTTGTAGAGGCTTAGAGTTTTGGAGATGAAGAGGTTAGCTAATGAATTTATATCATGGGTATTATTGAATTCAGAATCCCAGTTAATATTATGAAGTGCCTCTGTAAGATTGTCTAAAGCTGATTCACTGTGTAGCCTAAATGAAAGTTTCTTGCTTTTTGTTGGTGTTATGTCCATGTTCGCTATGAGAAAGGTAGGATAGTGGTCAGTTGTTCTGTCGTAGATTATACCAGATACAAGGGGAGCTGTTATGTTTGTCCATATGTGGTCCAAGGTAGTGGCTGATGTTTAAGAGACTCGGGTAGGTTTGGTGATTGTGGGGATTAGCATACAGGAGTTCATGCTGTTAAGGAAATAGTCAACTTGAGAGCAATTTTGTTGACCCAGGTCAATATTAAAGTCTCCTCCCAGAATGATGTGGTTTTTGTTGAGATTGTTGTTTATAATAAGATTCCTTAGGTTGTCTGAGAAAGAAGCTATGTTAGTATTAGGAAATCTATAGATGGCTCCAATAGTCAAAGAGGATTTAAGGGATTTAATTGTAAACTGAGCAAAAGTATATTCACAGTAGTCATCTCTGTCACTAATAACACTGTTGCAGATAAATGTATCTCGGTAATATATAGCTGTGCCACCACCTTTTTTATTAGGCCTACAGTTATGAATGGCTTTATAACCAGCTAAGTTGTAGAGTTGGGTATAGTCTTTATTTAGCCAAGTTTCTGTTAAAATAATGAACGATAAGTTAGTACCTAGTGCTGTGAGTAATGCATTTATATCGTCAAAATGTTTACCAAGTGATCTAACATTTTGGTTATAAACTGATAGATAGGTGCTATTTTGAAGTTTGTTTTTAGCCTGTTTAGCCCGTTTTTTATTTAACGTCATATAAGATGATAA